TATATATATATATAAGCATGTATAAGCATATATATATATGAAAACTAGAAGTGTTGACTATTATTGATTGATTTTTAATTAAGGATTTAAGTTTATAAATTTAATAGAAGTTAAATAATTTTTATTTTTTTGATAACCATTATTTTCATTTATTTCATTCGTTTTTTATTATTTATTTATTATTTTTCGAAGAACTAGTCATTAAATTATGATTATTTTAATAGCAGAATCAGCGTAAAATGGTCAAATTAGCGTTAACTTCTTTTACAAATATATATATTTTTTAAAATTCTTTCTCTGATATACATAGGATCTGTTATAAATGTCGCTGCTAAATTATAGGGCTGTAAGACTTGCTTTCGGTTCTGAATAATATATTACTTCTAAAATGATTCATTACGATCCTTTGATTTTCATAATTTTTAATTATATATTATTTGAGATTTGTATATTCTTAAATATATGCATAAAAAGTCCTGTGACTGAAGTGTTGTTTTCTTTGTAATACAGTGTAAGTAAGAATTAAATTAAGTGACATTTTTTATGTTCTTTATATTTTGCACATTCTATGAATATACACATGTACATAAGTATTTCAGAGAAAAATAAATAAATAACAGTAATGACTATGAAAATAATTATTTAAATTATTAATTGTGTAATTCAAAGGGAATTTATCTTCGACAACAAAGGAAACGTTACTCTAAACCTCGAAGATTTATCAAAAGCAAACACTATTTCAATTTTCGTCATTTAATCTTAAGCACTCTCGAGTATAAACTACTTCCATAAATTTAATATCCATCTCCATCATTTGCGCTGTACTCCATTTTTCCCTCCATCAGATTATTTAACGGAAGTCTAGTCTATCAGCTTCAGTGAAACAGTTCTTAACAGCAATGGACAAATGCAAAAATTTCTCTTTATTTCTTTTTACCCGGTCAGGTGAAGAGAAACGCGTAGAGCACCAGATGGTGCATTTCTATTAAATTACTTCATACTCGTTTATAGACGAATTTCACAGAACAATAAGTGAAAATCAGTCATGACTTTGAAAATAATTATCGAATGTAACTCAGATGGAATTTTTCTTCTAAAGCAAAGAAACGTTACTCTAAACCTCAAAGATGCATTAAAAGCAAACACTATCTCAATTTTAGTCCTTTAATCTCAAGCGCTCTCAGAGTATAAACTACTTCCGTAAATTTAATATCCATCTCCATCATTTGCGCTAAACTCCATTTTTCATCGAATCGTTCTTTCTTAATATGTAATACCAGCATATCTCATTTTCACTCCTTGTACACCCTCCATCAAATTGTTTAACGGAAGTGTAGTCTGTCAACTTCAATAAAACCGTTCTTAACAGCAATGGACAAATGAAAAATTTCCCTTTTTTCTCTTTCCCCGGTTAGGTGAAGAGAAACGCGTAGAACATCAGAAGATGCACTTAAGTAGAAGCGGCGTTTTAGCTCAGGCGATAGATCGGAAATGTCCAAAGCAATTTATAGCCAACCCTCATCATTCTAAGGGAAAAGAGGGTAGAGCGAGAGGAAGGGAAGTAGTTACGTGGGCTGAATTTTATCAGCCTGATTCTTCAAGCTTAGGAAGTATTAAGGGAATCGGCGTATTTCTACTCTTGCCTTCCGACTGACAATTGGGATTCAGCGGCTTTCTGAATCCTCTTCCCAACTCTTCTGAAAAGAAATCTTCACGGACATTTTCTTTATTTATGCTCCTGTGTGGAGGAAAAACCAACGTAAACACTCAGCACGATGGAAGTGTAATTTTAGTTTCCTTGCGAATAAGCGCATTGACTAATTTTCAATTCGCAAATTAAATGCAATAAATGTATTAAAAATGTATTTAGAACATTAGACTTTTAGATTTTCGCTATTAGATTATCAAATCTATGTCATATATTATCCCAAATTTTCAAATTAATAGTCGAAAAAATAATATTAGGTCGAATTTCATCATTTTCATCATAAATCATATTTTTTTTATTTGTGCTCCTGTATGGAGGAAAAACCAACGTAAACACTCAGCACGGTGGAAGTGTAACTTTAGTTTCCTAGCGAATAAGCGGATTGACTACTTTTCAATTCGTAAATTAAATGTAATAAATGTATTAAAAATGTATTTAGAACATTACATTTTTGTTATTAGATTATCAAATCTATATCATATATTATCCCTAATTCTCAAATTAATAGTCGAAAAAATATTATTGGATCGAATCAAATTGAGCTAAGAATTGTAAATTGTTTGTTTAGATTCAAAATGATAATTGATAGCCATGTCAGCCCAGTGGTAAAAGAATCTGACGCCACTCTGCAAGAACCGGGTTCGATTAGCAGCTCCGATAAGACCCACCGAGTTCATATATGCAATATACGTGTTCATGAAATCCGTGGAAATCTGCAGAAGTCCTGCTATCGGTGTCTGAGCAATACCATGGGTACTAGAGAAAATTTCCTTCCTTCAGATCTATGTCTAAATTTCGGAAATGGCCTCGAGAATGAGTAATTCTGTTAACTAACTGTAGGGTTTTAAAGCCAAGACGTACTTTCCCCCTTGCTTTGTTCTTTTGTCAGACATCAAGCTCACCAACCTGCCTTAAATTTCAAAACGCCAATGGCTAGAGAGCTTGGATTGACAAAGAGTCATAAAAAACAACACATCAAAAATGAAATTCGGATTGCTTTGGTGATAGTGGAAATAGAACAAAAACATTTAATTAGACTGAAATTTACGTTATTTGGAATTTACTACTACATTTTACGAAGATAGTAAATTATGTTATTTATTGTAAATTATATTATAATTAGTCAATATTTGATTGACTTATTTAAAATTTGCCTCTTTCCTTGTTCAATGTTCATGACACTAGGCGACAGCTTGGCAAAAGTGTAAAAATGCATTTCGAGCAAATTATCACTTTTTTAACAATTTTATAATTTTAATTATCAAATTAAAAGATAAGAAAATAACTTTGGTGAGAATCAAATTAAGTTAAATTTGTAAAGTATTGCTAAACACTTGTCAATAATTAAACGCAGGTTGTTAAGCAAATTCCCCTAAAAATGCAGGAAGTAGGCAAAAATAAATATTTAATCGTTTTCTTCTGATGAAAAAAAGCACACAGCTTTCTGAAGAAATATATACTGCTCATTTTATATATATGGCCAAATTATTGAAAGTAAAACACATCAAACTGATAAATATGAAGAAAAAATATAATTAATTTAATAATGAAATTCATAATTATATTATTTTTATTGTGTCCATAATTAATCCAATATATTATTAATTTTCTTGATTTCATTAGCCATGTCATGAGCATTCAGGTGTGCAATCCTTTTTTATTAAAATAACATTTCGTTTACAATAAAAAAGAAACCTCCTTTAGCAATAACTAATTTTATATGCCAAGTAATTTGGGACAAATTAAAAATTTACTGCATAACACAGTGAAAATAGTACAAAACATTAATTCTAAGGCCGTTTATTGGTTCTTAGGCCTACGTATTTTTTATACAAGTTTGAAATGGATATATAGCTCATTTGATGATCTAAACATACTAAACATAAAAACTTTTGCATAATAATTTGAACTTCATATTTGAACGTAATGAAAACATAAATAAACGTAACATGATTGTTTTCAAAAAAATTACATTGATCCCATCAGCTGAATTAAGGAGAAGTCAATAATATTACAAAAAAAACAGGTATTTCGGTTAAAAAGTTTAAATTTTTTCTGTCTTTTCAATTATCATAATTTCTGAATTCTTACATCTGTAATGAGTGCTGGAATTAAAAATATTTAATTTTTTTTTAGTTCCACCAAAGGAAACTGTCATTTTAGATGAAGAAAATAATGAGCTATCTGGTGTAATTGGTCCTTATGATGAAGGTTTGGGACTGAAACTTAGATGCGAATCAATAGGAGGTATGTATTATTCAACGAAAACTTATTTTTAAAGTGAGCAAATTAGTTCAATTTTGTATATAAAGGGAGGAAAAGGTAAAAATTGCTTAAGATTCGTTTTATAAAAACGCTAGTAAATGAATTAGTAACCTTGGATTAATATTTTTTTATCTCTTTTTGCACGGATAAAAACCCACCCGTATTCAAGATGAAATTGATTCTACGAATTTCTGGAGTACGTTTATGCCCAGAAAATCTCATGCAATAGCTACATGGGCTACATAACTTAAAAATCCTATGAATTTCGTGGATGAGAAGATTGCTGTTGAGTGTGTTTTTCCAACATGTCCCAAACATATTTACTAGGTTAAGATACAGATTTTTGCGATGGACAAACAAAGTGTAAGAAGTCTGATAGAGTATCATTGAACCAATTCTTACGATTTTGGACCAATGTGCATTTACATGAAGTTCACGCAGTATGAATCAGTATGAATGACCTTTAGAGTAAACACGCAGCATTGCAGGATTAACTCTAATGTGTTCAGGTGATGCATGGCTCTTCATTTACTTATGAGAAACTGTAAGGCAACACTTCGATAGCAGTACAGCATTTCTCATATCATAATACTCTCACTAGGCCCTTGTACAGTGTGAAAAAGGTAAAAAAAATATCTTCCAAGGTTCTAATTCATTATCAGTAATATCGTATTTAAAATGATGCTCTTGCACTGTGTCATGCATGTGTCATTCAATAATGTGTCATGCATGTGTCACTGTGTCATCCACTAATGTCCCCTAATTCTAATCACAATTTGTTTTTTAACAGGTATTACCAATGTCGCACTGTAAGAAAATAGATAGTCAAATATCACGCAACTTTGCTCATTTCTGATGAAATTTCTTTTCTAGTATAGGTGTCAAAAGTTTAATCAATGTGACGAAATAACTATCGTCACTTCTTCGAGAAAGCAAATTTATCAAAAATAAAGAAATATTTCGTCATTATATTTTTTTTCGTAGTGCATAATGTATTATGCTTTTAGAGTGGCCGCCATACAGATGTCGCAACATAACAAGGGCAGATTGAATACACAGATAAATTATACCCATTCCCGAAGCGGGATTCCAACCCTCCCTTTATCTTCCTAGTACGAGGTCAACTTCTTTGCCATGCAGGCTTGTCGGTTTGATGCGTCACTTTATTTTCGATTGTCTAATCTTTATTCTAGTTCCGTCGTTATAGATAACAATCTTTCAAAAGATAAAGATTTCGATTTGAGAAAACATTTCATAATTTTATCGTCATATTTTTACGATATTCCTTCATATTCGTCATATTTTTCGTCTTTTCATTCGTTAGTAAATCAAGTTTTGTCGCAAAACACGTGATTTCTTAACGAAATAGTTGTTTAAATTAGCAAAATATAGATCAAAGAATGCTAAATCATCAAAAGTGAGAGTTTCATTTTTGAAAGTGCAAATGTGTTTAATACTTAAGTTTCATTTTTATATTATTTCTAACGAATTTGTTTCAATTTTTTCATATTTTTAGAACAAGCTACAGAATTTGTTTAACTAATAAATTTACAACAACAAAATGCATTTTCTCTCAAGATAAATAAAAAATAATAATTACAAATTCTTTGTTCTTATAAAAATGCGTGTAAACGAATTTATACAGTCTTAAATTTATTCTATCATTTTGCAATCCTTTCAATAGTATCTGAAACAACTGTTTATTGGTCAGTGACAATAAATTCATATGTACCAAGAAAATATATAAAATATTTGCTAGTATTGAAAGACAACAGACAAATCCTCAGAGCCCACATATCTCCCGCTGGGTTCTGACAATGACAGCCTTCACTGATTGGTATAAGAAAATGTGTTAATACGACAAGTCCTCAGCTAAAACACAAAATTGAGAAAGAAATCTTTGACAGAAAAACAGACATGCAATTCTATTCAAATAATTCAAAATTCTTTTTTTTTATATTCAAAAGCTTAGTGATATTATGAGATAGAAAATGTATGTCGTATTTTTAGAAAGAAAATTACATTCCTTCAAAAAGATTAATATTTTTTGTAGAAAGAAAGTATACCATTTTCTGAAATGTTTCGTGTATGCATTTGAGTGGGATACTTTGTTTTAGATGAAAATTTAAAATAAAGATTGTTTATATAGATTATTTCGTAAAAATGTAATGGAACGTTGCAATTTTATAAATGAAAACAAAATTTGTTTTTTGCGTGTGTCGAAAAATTGGTATAAATATCATTATATTCTTAAAGTAGTTTCGTCTTTCCAAAAACTAGTTATATATCTAAACATATTAATATTTTTTGATATCTCCTTTACGTAGTCCCTTTCTTTCAGATTGTTGAGAGGAGCATGTTTATTTCAAATGTAAATATTTTAAGATAGCAGAGAAATTTCATATCTCAACTTCAACTAATTTCTTATCATCATAAGCATAATTGACTATATTATAATAGTGATTTACTGCTTTAAAATACTTATGCTTATTTATTGATTTAAATACATTATTGCTTAAACCAAACATTTAATCCTGCGTAGTATAAAAATTAAAAAAGGGCAATTGGAAAACATTTTTAGCTAACTTTAATGCATGGAAAATTGTCTTAATAATATCCATGCTCGTATTAAAGCTCATAGAAGGTTCCCTTTTTTCGTACAGCAATCTCCATACAACCATGTCATAGGTTTTAAATTGTTTCTCGTTGAGTCCATTGTCTAAATTTGGGTTGTTGGACATTAGGAAACTATCTCATTTTATAAAAATTTTATTTATTATTACCACAAAGTTAGTAAAAAATAAATACTGAAAAGTAAATTTAACAACAATAAAAAAAATGGTTTTCATCCCACACTCTAAGGTATTATGATAAAATAATCAAATTTTAGCACTTGCCAAATTTAAACATTATCATGAAATATAAAATCATATTTTTTTTCAAACTGACATAAATTAAATGGAAGTATTAATTTGGCTTATAAATGCGTATAATACTTCTTAATTTTATAATATAATGCTAATGAAAAACATCACATTCCAATGCATATGTTTAGCAAGGTTGTTAAATGCATATATACATACAAAGAAGTGAAATACTATTTTGTAATAATATGCACTAATAATATTTAGACAATATTAGCAACTAGCATAAGAGAATCATCAGACTTATACTGCTAACAATAATAATTATGCATATTCGTAACAAGAGATGATTCGATTGACAAAAAAAAAATAATAAAAAAATAAAAAACTAGATATTATGTACTTTAAGTTGACTTAAATAAATATGTTATTAATGTAAATTTAATTTTCATCAAATATCGATGTTATAACAATACTATATAAATTATAATTGGCGTAATAAATATTTTAGAGAAATTCAATAATCAAACATGTATAAATATCTTTGGAGATATAAATTTTCTTTATTGCACTGAGATAATATGTATAACTTTTATCACATGTATTGTTAAACGATAGTTTTCCATTAATCGAGAATGGTAAAAACAAACACATCCCATTTGTTTTGTGACGTAGATAAGAATCCATTAGCAAGGATAATTTTGTGGTGTTTTATTTTCCATTAAGATCTTTCGTTACCTTTGAGCTAAAGATGTTTACCAATTTAAAAGAAAAAAAGAGTAAAGAGCTGTGTGTATTTTGGATTTGAGAAAGCCATGGATCATTAATTTCTTTTCTGTTTAGAAAGTTCTGGTTTGTACTTTTTTTCTCCTTTGAGTCGATGTTTTTTAAGAAAAGGAAGCAAAATTGTAGTAAATTATGCTCTGCTATTATTTTCTTTCTTAATACGATACGTTTTGTTTCCAAATAAGGATTATTTTTAAATAAACATTTTGCTGATTTTAAAAAATGTAGTATGGAATGAGGTATATTATTTCAAATATACTGTTTCTAATGTACAAACAATCATCCTTATTTTTTTGCTTCATTATTGTAGAATCTAAATTATTTACGATTTATAATTTTATTTTTGAAATATTTTAGAAGAAATAATAAGAAGGAGAATGCGGGTTTTCTAATCTAGATTGAAATAGATTTTTTTTACATCTTTGGATATTTGATATTTTGCAAAAGACGAAGATTCAAAGAAATAGGAAAACGTTTATATCTGCTTCTGAAATAATTGCTGTAAAAATGGTTTCTGGTTTTTATTTAGAAAAAAAATGTAATAATTCAATTTTTATAATTTATAATTTGAAAAAAAAAGACTCTTATGAATCTTGTTTTATTGAATTTCAAAGAAATAAATGTGATACTAATCTTAAAAATTCAATTTCGTGATAAGACAAAAATTGTTAGAATATTTTTACTCCATGGTTAACAATTCGCTTTTTATATTTCCCTAATGCAGTTCTAATTAAAATAATTTTGGTGTCGAATGAAAATCAACGGCTATAACTTATGAATTTGTTCTTAACACGCAGTCCATTTCCTAAGTATCAATTTTTAATAGCTAATATAATCTTTAAGTAAGCATCTGATTCGAATAAAATAAAAGGGAAAAACTCTAAAAATAAAGAGTAAAAATCAAATACTTACAATTATTTATGAGTTAATGCTAAAGACATTAGCACTTACCAGTGAAAAACAAGGATATGCTTCGCAAAATAATTTAAAAATCACACTAAATCTGTTCATCTTTTAATTAAGTTATGTTATCTGAATTTTTCCATACAAAGTACATCATGAACACATTTAGAATAATAAACTATTGTCTCTATATAATAAAAAAAGACGTCAGACGAAATGCGATTTGTATTAGATTGTCAATCTTATAAAATGAGATTTAAAAAAAATTATATCAATATTTACTAGCATATAGCATTAGGTTTAGATAAGTTATGAATAAGATGTCATTAAACTAAACTAAACTTACAGCTTTTGGAAGTACAGACATGGACCAAATATATTATTGCAGATGTAACTGAAGGGATTTACTCACACTTAACTTTTTAGATGGTGATGTTAGTAATGATAGCATGGCAAAAGACTACCAATATTACGAAACAGCTGTCAAGTTTGTTCGTCTCATTTCTGAAAGTGACACGCAGTAAAGTAGGAGTCAATACCAAAGGGCCCTCAGTTCTTTGATTTTCTTTTACCTTGAACATTTGCTATTTGATTTTCTGGAGCTTCAGTCAATTCTGTAGAAATGAACTTTCATCGAAATTAAAACGGCTGACAGAGTCAAATATCCTGTCGTCCAAATTTGACCCCATGAGACATTAGCACCTTTGGAGAGCTTATAAAAGTCCTGAAAAATCTACAGTTTCAAATCGACTATGAAGCCAAGGTATACCATTGTAAATAGTATAACGAGACTCCATATTTTTCTTCCTTTTCAAAGGAGCATGCCATGGTTGGATCAGTGATACACTCATATAAATTTCAAGAACAGTTTTAAATAATACTTTTGAATATAAATTGTGTGAACTTACTTACTTCCACATTATTTATTGACATCATTTTATTTTATTTTATGTTTTATTTTATGACCGCCGTTGAACAGTCGACCCATTTTTTGGGTTTACGACTACAAATGTTCAACGCCGTAGCCTTGTAATTTTGAACCAATCCAGAAGACAAGGAAACTCCTGGATCGGTACCCCCAGAGGTATTGATTTGTTATGGGAACATGGAGGACTTTGAGACTCGACAGATTTAACGTGCATCAGTCACCATTTACTACACGGGGAGTCTTCGACCAGCAGGGACCGAACCCACGAACTCTTGGACATGGGCCCGGCACCCCTATTGACATCATTGATTTTATTCTGAATAAAACTCTACTTGTTTACAATCCACTGTAAAGAAGATTGATCACGTTTGTACATTTAACGTATAATTTCGCTTTATATTTCTACAATATTTACCTCGTTTTAAAAACTTGACAATTTTCATACTAAGATTCAGTAGTCGTAATCCTAATAACAAAATATCTAATAACTAAACTCAGTAGCGTGACTATCCAAGAAGAATCAATGCCTACTGCTCTCCCGATAATTTCCTTGATTTCGGACACTGGGAGCTGATGTTCCGGGTGGGTGGTCAAATGAACTCGGAAGCCCCCTGTGTTTATTACACAAAAATGTTTGCTACTCATTTTATCAACCAATTGAAAGGATGAAAGTTGGATTCAACCTTACCCAGATCACAGAACCTAGGTCCAGTGGCAGAAGCGCAACCACTAAGCTACCGGTTTTGGCAATGTTCATCAATTCGATTGGTAACTCAATATGATTCCTTGCAATCATGTATGCTGTACGTAAGTGAGTTTTCAGATGCGAACAAATGTTATATATATAAAAATTTTCTCTCTTATAGGTATTCCACCACCGGCAGTCACGTGGTGGAGAGGATCAACTTTATTAGATGATACGTTTGATACCTTGGCTGATGGAGTTGTTAGAAACGATTTAGTTATTCCAATTCTACAGAGATCTGATCTTCTCATGGTTATCACGTGTAACTCAAATAACAACAACGCCACTGTTGCTGTTGCTACATCAGTAAAAATAAATTTAAACCGTAAGTCTAATTGCATGAACTTTTCTTATTCTGATACAATGATTATGATTGAATTTAGTTACGTCATAAATATTTTTTTAAACAACTTAAAAAAATCTTATATTAAAACGCTGTTATTTATGTATATAAAAATTGAAATCAGTATTTGCTGAGCATTCATTCAGAAAATTTAGTTATATTTTCATAGAAAAGCGACATATATTTATCTGCAAAAACTATTTCGAAGTGAACTTTAGTATTACATCGCTAAAAACTAAGAGTTAGTGATGTCACCAATTTAGAAGTATCAGGAAACAATAACAATACCACAGTAAATCCTCAGATAAAATAAATTTCTGAAAATTGCTAAAGTGGGTCTTAGTTTATGGGATCATATTTCCAGTATTTTTTATATTACTAGTTTTTCAGATGCATAGATTGCCTTAAAGAGTAAATTACAATTGCTTTCAATGAGGAGTTATAGGACAAAAATCAGAGGCATTTTCGCCAACCCCACTATTTTTTGATTAAAAAAATCAATTCAATGTTAATTATAATATGACTGTTTTAAATCTTAATGTCAAATAAATTCGAGACAACCTTAGTAAGATGTAAGGTAGAACCAAACTTCCGTTCAAGTCGAAGAATAGTATTAGGTAATCAAGTTTAGAAATGAATATATTAAACAATGCCATGGTTCAACTTACTAAGATTTCAGCAAACAATCTTCCAAATTATAGTACGCCGACTATTTTATTCTTTGTAAACTGAATGGGCATTTCAAGGTCACATGGTATCCACTATTCTCGATTTTCGCTGAGTGAGAACGTTATTATAATCATAATTTTATAGTAATATACAATTATGAGTTATTGTAAATCCTTAACTGCCGTAAGAATAAAAAGAGTGGCGTTACTACTTGTCACATTGTTACCAAAGCGAAAAAGGTAGAAAATATAACCTTGAGACGCCAATTTTTATTACAATGATAAAAGTATATTATCACATGAATAAAAATATCATATTATGCATTAATTAATAACATAACTAATGGACACCTTCAAACTAACTAAATAATACAAATAGAGAAAATATACTAAATATTGTACTACTTCACTGATATTTAATATATTTAAGTATAAAAAATATGCATTTTACGTGTTATTTTTAACTTTATGAGGAAATTGTGTCAATATTTCTTATTATTAATCATACACATTTTAAGATATTCTGTAGTTATATATGATGTACCCAATATACAAAATAACACGTGCATTTTTTCTTAGAACATTGTTTAATGTTTTAAATATTTGCGTTACAATTTTTGTATGGCAGTTTTTAAACTAATACTCTTAACAATCACATTTTTATTCCTTTTTCTCAGAATATTCCCTTTTGTTTGCCATTTATTTTTACTACATCGTCATTGCAATATTGACTTTTCATAAAATTGGCAAGCATAGGCAATTATTTTTATAGTGCAAGGCAAAAAAATCTTTCTAAGAGTCAATATTTAATTAAATTTTATTATAAACTTATTGAAATTTCGTTGTCTTAATTTTCATTATTTTTCAAGAGAGTGCTAGTTTTTTTGTTATATTGTTCACTTAAAACATTTTCTTACTTTTTAAATAAAAATCTCTAAATAACGTTTTTAAATAACACAAGCTGTTGTTCATATTACCAATCCTTATCTTCTGATAATTTTGTCATTTAAATATATCTCTACTTTTAACTTTTTTCAACTTTCTGTGGTGATATTAAGCATATGAATGCGCTTCGATATTTTCCATGCATTTGAACTGAGACTTTCCATAATGAAATTAATTTAAAAAAATCTTTAAAAGTAGATATTGTAAACATTAAGGATTTGATTATTAAAAATCAATGTATCAAATAATGCATTTTAGACATTTAATTTATTATTTTAGGCTAATACAACTCCTGTGATACATAAACAAATACTAATTAAATTCCTTGATATGACAACTTAAATTTAGGCAAGTAAAGAAAAAGAAACTGAAAAAACAGGTGCGCACTTTCAAAGTAATGCAATATTTTAAAAAAAAGTTAAAAACTAAACTTTCGCAAAGTTTTTTATTCTACGATGAAATTGACTTTAATTTAAATTACAGAAGTAGTAATTTTTTATATGCTCCACATTCCTACATATAAACATTTTTAATGTTTCGAAGATGAAAATGTAAACTAAGTACAAAATTAATCACATGCAAAAGAGAAAATTAAGTTATTATTGTTTTTCATATGAACTCTAAAACATTTACTACACTGTTTTGAAAATGTAAATATTTCTGATTTGAGACAGGTTCACATGCAAAATTAGAAATTTACATCTGCCATATACTTTCTGCACTATAATTGTTTTTGATGAAATCCTAATTTATTATATTGCCATTTTAATTAAATTCTATTACTATAACACATTTAAATGTACTCAATAAAATTAAGAAAAATTATTTAAAGTACTATTTTTTTCAAAACTTCGTATTTTGAGAAAACCCAAATCTGTATTGCTTACAGTACTACATCATATGGATAATTTCTGTCAACTTTAATTCAAAAGAGAACAATAATTTCTTATCAAAGTCTCTAAAAATTCTAAAAGCAAATGACTGATACAAATACGTCTATTAAAAGTTTAAAAGCATTGAATTTTTTTGAAGAAATATATTTTTTTCTCTTTCTTTACGGTATGAAGTATTAACATAGTTAGCATGCAAAATAAATTCTTGATATTGGGAAAATTCAATATTTATCGAGTGAAAATAATTTATTTTGCATCTATTTCTGGGTTTAATTAAAAAAACATCTTATCATTTTCTATAATTTATTTTTATTATTTTTCTTTTCATTCATCAGCTTATTATTCATTATCTTTATTTCATTCATTTGTAATTACATAACTCCAAATGCGTTATTCCAAAAATTTAAAAAAAAAGAAGAAAAAAACTATAGACTTGATTAAAATCCTTTAAAAACAATTAAATGAGGTTTATGCTCCAGTTGGATTTGATTTGGTGCATATTTTATTAACTCAATAAAAAATTATTTATTTTTTTGAAAAATAAAATACATTAAAACAAAAATAACGTGCCATCAACATCCAATATGATCAATATAATGGAGCATTAATGAGTGTCATATTTTAGTTTCACACTATAACAATTAAAACTGTATATACTTTTAGGCAACAGTTCAATGGTAATATGTTTCAAGATTTATAATGACGTATTATTATTATCTAATAATAATTTTTAAAACTTAACTGAAATTTTTGTAGTTATTTAAAGAGTGAAATCTAAGGAAGAAGGAATAAAATCCATTCGACGCATATTCTTAGGTAAAAGAGATCATACTAAGAAGTTCTTATTATTTTTAAATCGAAACTTCTGCATTAAAAAGGGTAATTTTGTTTTTGAAATACTAATATTTTGACTTTTTATTTCGCTATAAAGAAATCAATTTATAAAATAATACTGAACATTTTTTTCACATAATTAAAAGCTATATCTGGTGCAAAATAAATAATTTTTGTTAAATATTGGCTGCTCATTTTTAGAACTTAACTGATCTGTGTTTATTTATTCAAACAGTGAAACCAACTGAAGCAAGAATAACGTCTCTTCGGCGTACGCTATCAGCAGGAAGAAGGGCAGAATTAGAGTGTACCTCAGCAGGTTCACGTCCAGCAGCTCGTATATCATGGTGGATTGGAACGACGCAGCTTGCGAATACAACAGAAAGCTTTTCACCAGATCGCAATCGAACGACAAGTTTATTGAACTTCTGGCCAACAGGCGATCACAATAACAAATACTTAGGATGTAGGGCTGAAAATCCCATGCTGCCAGGACAAGCAGCTGAAGATGGTTGGACGCTAAACGTTTCTTGTAAGTTGTTATGCAAGTTCAAGATAATCAGTCTTCTTCAAATTTTTATTACCAAAGTTGAACCACCGGTATCCATGCTAGGTATTGTACATGCCAGGTGCGATTAAGCCTTATTATATGACAGATAGAGAATACATCAATTTTTCCTATCAATGGGGCAGCTTACCTTTCACATGATGCCTAGGCAGTGCAGACGCATCATCATCCTATAGTAATTAAATCATAGATTCGAAACGTCTTATAGACAATTAAAAAGAGTGACCAAAACACTGAAATCTGCAAAATAAATATATTGTTGTTATCTTTTTTATGAATAAATATATTGTTGAAAATTTGTATATTAACCTATCGCAAGCGTAAAAGTACTCTTTTGAAATTTCTGCAATCCATACGGAAGTATAGGAGTGGTAGCAAAAATACTCAATTCCGCTCTGCATATCAAAGAAGTCATTCATTCTTGATTGCCCGAAACATAAATGTTTCAGTATAAATGCAATCAGTACTACAATTGGCCGTTTCAATTTTTTTTTAAATTGAAGCTAAAACCATAGTGACAAGTTTGTTTCAACTTTTATGAAATCTTGTCTATCACTTTTTTAAAATTTTAATCTATAACAACTGTAATGCAATTTTGTAAATGTTTACCACATGCAATCTGTTAAAAACGCTCATAATTAAAAATAGTTGAAAACAATAATCTAACAATTAATTTTCACAGCATTTTCTAAATTTTTTGATAATTTTGCCATGAACATTAAATAAAACTATTTGGGAATAAAATAAAATATGAAAAGAAGTAAGAGAAATTAAATTAAATATAAAATTAATATAAAATTGAATAAAAACAGGTAAGTAGGGAAATAAATAACATGATAAGTTTTGCTAAAGATTTTATTTATTATTTTCACAGTATATCACAGCAAAGGGTTTAAAACTATAATTAAAGATATTTTACAAATTATATTTGTTCATCTAAAGAGGTTTAACCCATTTTTAATCTAACATATTATCAAAAAAACATCTAATTTTAGGTTCAATATAATTTTATTCTTTACTAAATAAAAAATTTCATTATTAAAACAAATGTCATTCATTCATGAATACAATCTGCTGTTAGAATATACTTCCTGAAATTAAATACTTATATGTTTAAAATTTACACTCGCTTGTAATTTATGACGTTATACTCCAGGTTTAAGCAATAAAATGAATTGTTCTTTTACCCCTAAATAATTAAAAGAACTCAGTGAAGATACTCCCTCAAACAATGTTTCAAGACCAAAAGACGAGAACAAAACAAATCGTTTTTCATATAAATTTAATCTTCAAAATCAATAAAAGTTTGTTAGCAAGTGTTCTTTATCGATCTAAATCATGAATAAACTCCATTTCGGAATTAATATTCATATTAAGTTCAGATTTTTCTCTTGTTTGCTCTAAAACTTATTCCAGGAAGAAAACAAACGAGCCAAAACAAAAATCATCAGTAAAAAGTTGTAATATTTTAAAGAAGCTACAATGAGATTTTTTACCATTTCTAGTTTAAGGGGCAGCTTTAGCATATCGATCTGGTCTCAAAAACATCTGTAAAGCATAAATTTACGAGTGAGCCAATTTAAATTTAAACACACTTTTCTCAGGAAGGAAATCCATTAGTGTTCTAAGCTTGCTCAGAACATTCCTAGAGTGAAAATCTTTCTTCTGTAGCTGCGTCAGGGTAAAAATGGATATTTAATTAAACCCGGGTTAGTCACGTGGAAAGAAAGAAAATTTGCAATTCATGACCGATTTTTCTAGTAAGATCTTCTTCTACTTATTTTTTCCCCTTTTCCCTACTTTTCATCTTGCTGTCCCTACACTTTCTTCCTCCTTTTGAGGTCTTTTTCATTTTCCTTGTTTTCGTTTCTTTCCACTTGAGTGGTTGATTGGGAAAAATATGATTATAGTAGGTAAGGAGGGACCAAAATTGGGCCTTTCCTTCCAGAAAAGAATATAAGTGCCTTTCTACGCAGCTGTTCTTTTTGCATTTCTATGACTTCAGAGTTTTAAGGAGAAAATTCTCTTCTTTGAGAAACTTGAGATCTTACCCTTGTGGTATGAATAATAAAGAAGTTGAAAGGCGAAGATGAATTGGTGCATTTAGAAGCAAAATTAGTTTCAGTATTGAAAATGAGACAGCATGGCTAGAATATTTACCAAATTTAAGAGAGGCTATTTTCCAGAACAGTGATTTAAGACTCCGGTATCGATTAATGAAAAATTGATTTTTGGTAATGGAATGCCTTAGCTGGAACCGGAATGTCTATAGCTATTACAAAGTCAAATAAACATGTCATACTTAAAAGTTTCCATCGCATTCATCACCATACTGTTTACATTTATATCCGAACTAAACCTTAAATAAAGATTGAATTACAGTTTCAAATTATAGCTTGTAATTTAAATAGTTTGTAAATTTGAAAACATCTCATTTCAGTAATTAAAAAGAATTTATTTTATTCTTCTAATTTTTATTAGTACATGCTACGATACTGAAGAATAAAAACTACTAAGTAATACCGATTGCACAAATATAATAATGTGCAGTATTCAAATCAATAATTAATTAACAATATTGTTAATTTCTACTAAAATGGAGTGATGCCGTGATTCTATTCCAATTGTAAAGCATGAAATTAGTTAATGCATTTGTTAAAAATGCGAAAATGTGTTTATGTATCTGAAACATCGCAGTACAGTGTGATACACAGTAAATCCACAGTAAAATTTGAATTCACAAAACTAATACATTTGTTCAAATTTTACCTTCCAACTGTCTCTCTACACTGAATAACTCAATGAAGTATTTGAAAGGAAGCAACTGCTTAGAATGGAATAAGACCAAAAAGTAAACAGGAGCTCACTAAAACTATAACAACATATTCAATGTACTACATGCGTTAGATGTATTTACTCCATGATTTTTATACATTTTTTCTAATACCATATTCAGCATTAGTAAAAATAAATAAAAATAGTGATTAATGTATTAAACGTTAATGTTTTTTTTATTTGTTTTGCTTTTTTTCTTTTTTTGTAAATGTAGTCTAAAAGTCAGTGAGAACCATGTTAAGGGTGAATATTTATTCAATATACTTAAAGGAAATCAACTGCTTTGTATGATATAAGAAAAAAAAATTAAATACGAATTTGTTTGATGGACTGGAATTTGTCTGATTGACTGAAAAAAAGAGCCCACTATAACTGTAATAACACATGCAATGTACTGCCTACGTTAAAAGTATTGCCTATATTATTTATGTATGAAAAAATGAAACCGTAATTAAACTGGTTAACGTATTAAACTAGTAAAGAATTGTAAAAATAAATAAAAGTAAGGATTTTTTATAAATAGTGAAAAGACAAATTAAAAGTTCACTGTAAAAAAATCAAAACATCGGGAAATACAGCTTTACGTCATTTTTTTTTATTCTTTATGTATTTATTTTTTTTTTTGTAAACGTAATCTAAAAGTGGAGGGGAACCATTTTAAGGGTGAATGCTTATTAAAAATACTAAAAGGAAATCAACTGCTTTGTGTGAAATAAGACCAAAATTTAAATACGAATTGTTTGATTGACTGAAAAAAAGAGCCCACTATAACTGTAATAACACATGTAATATACCGCATACGATAAAAGTATTGCCTATATTATTTATGTACAAGAAATGGAAATAAACCGTTCCTTCATTCTTTAACTTCAATTATCAACTGCCTGCCACATCTCCATAAACATAAGTAATTGGGAGTTGTTAAAAACTGGCAACCATTGCAAAAACCATTTTAAATTATTTATTAATGAACGGAGTTAGTTTTTAACAAAATAAGCTACAAGCAAACAAGAAAAAAAATAGGAAAAGGGTAATTATAAAAAATACAGTATAGTGGGATACCCTTCAATGCTCTGACACTGATTACTGATACATTCATATGACAATCTTAGATTTTCACAACAAGCTGTTTTGTTGTAATGAGAGAAAATATCCGATGGAATTAAATTGTTCCATTCAATGAATATTAAAAAGCATTTATTGAAATGCTTCAGTGTTAACATTCGGTATAAAATTAGTTAAATTCTTAAATACGAGATTGGGTTATCTTTTCCGCTGTGATGTAAACAAGAATTTTGTTTCTTAATTTAAAATAAAAATTATCAGAAATTAAAAATTTGGATTGCATCAGATGATTTAAATAGTTGAAAAGATTAAAAATAGATGCTATTTAACGAAAAATAATTAAATGTAAGTTGATTTAAATTAAAAATGCGGGGGATATTATTGATAGAATTAACGCAGAACTTAGAGTGACGTGAAAATAACTAAATGGCGTGCATTATATTGAAACATGTCCCTCATCAATTTTATTATTATTCAAAATTCATTTAAATTTTAATGTTACAAATCATTTTTTACAGATATTCCAAGGGTGAAGCTAAATATAAAGATAGATCATGGGAAGCACCAATCAGCTAGCGAAGGAAGTGATGTCCGATTCTTATGCGAAATTACTGCCAATCCTTGGGTAACGGACATTGGGTTCCTCTCAGAAGATGGGCGGATGGTTAATGATCCAGATACCGGCATAATAATAGACAACAATACATTAATCATCAAAAGTGTTCAGAGAAAACATGCAGGAAATTACCAGTGCCATGGCATGAATTCTGAAGGAACTGGATTAAGTGAGAAAGTTAATTTAAAAGTTAATTGTAAGTATATTTCTTCTATGCAACTAAATACGATTTTTGTTCCTTTAATACATTCAAAACAATTTTTGACTCAAATTATGCTATATTTATCGAATCGTCAGTCAAGCTCTCGTTAAATTTTAATTATTTTCATTTTTGTATTTTCTATTACCGCTTAAATTTTTGTTTTGATATTTAAACATGCTCTGCAAAAGATTCAGTTAATAGTATCAGTGAAAAAGGTACTTTACGTTCCCTTCGTAGCTCTCTCAGAACATTGAAGCTATATTAATTTTAATCTAAATTCTAAATTTTTTATAAACTCATAGCAAAGTTTAATTTCTCCGAATTTTTTTTTTGAAATAAAAAAATTTAAATTAATAATTTAAACACATATATTTTCTTGAAAGTTTGCTTATCTAAACATTTATTTTTTTATAAATAATTGTATTTTTAAAGTATTAATAGGATTTTCAATTTACACTATAGTATTCAGGGGATTGCATTTTAGCGCAATCATGTGTTGAGGATTTTATAAACAAAATGTGCATTTAATCTAGTAAAATAGAATTTTTCCAACAGTGATACCCTTGTTTTTCATGACAGAAAGAATACTGATCTTTAAACAAATAAATAAATACGCATGGTAAATATTTGATGCGTATTCTATGGATTATAAATATATGAAGAATAATAGTAAGTTTTTGTTTTCAATGCATTCGGATTTTTGTCTATCAAATATTATTTACCATACCAAATATATAATAAATATCATTTTCTTTCATCGTAACAAATTAGAATACATTGCGTTTTCTTTTTCTTTTGTTATTATGATTATTCATTTAAATTTTGCGCAAGAAGGAAACAATGAGGCAGTAAATAATTGTTTTATAACAAAAGTTCGAATTAATGTCTGTTTACTAGCTAATACGTTAAATCATTTATCCTTATTTTAAGGTTTGTTTATTTAGTTTTTCATCAAACGAAAGAAATACATTTTTGTAGATATGGAAGTGAATTCATCTTTATGTATCTAAGTCGTCAACATTATTACTTTAAAAATCCGTTATGTTGCAATGTTTACAAAACGCAAATGTTTACGAATCGTTGCAAAGTGTAGTGGTATATTTTTAAGTTGTTTTTAAATTTGAGTAGTAGGAATGAAACATGAAATTTAAATGTAAGTATTAGTTACGTTTTAAATATTATTTACATTTGTAAATATTTTTTTTCTAGATTCGCCTATATGTCGAGCTGGTCAAAAGATAGTTTACGGTGTAGCAAAGGAAGAACCAGCAAAAATCGAATGCAGTGTGGATGCTGAACCGTCCGAAGTTAGTTTCAGATGGAATTTCAACAATAGTGTGGAGCAGCATGATATCCTTTCTTTTACGAGTTCTGGTCCAACTAGTATAGCAACCTACATACCCCGGTCATTAAAGGACTTTGGGAAACTTTATTGCTGGGCGAAGAATAAAGTTGGAGACCAGCAAGTTCCATGCATTTTCAATGTGATACCTGCAGGTAAGAAAAAAAATATCCATTTATTATTTTTATCACCCTTCTATGGAAATCCTCTCTTTAAAAGTGATAATATTCTGAAATTCAAAATAGTTAGGCACATTATTTTTGCAGCCCTAAACGGTCGTGTAATTTATATAACATTAAAAAATGTTTGAAAATTTAAAACAATATTATTTTGAAGGTAGTTGGGGATAAATATCAGGTGTTAAGAGATAAGTAACTAAATATGTCATACTTTTTTATGGTAATTTTTAATAACACAATAAAAGCAGTTGGGGGGAAATGATGTCGTTTTTCTGATTTTATCTTAATAACCTCTTAGATTTTTTGTTATTAGATAGTGTTATTTATACAATTTAAATCGAAACATGAGAAACCAAGAACAAACAAAACAAAATATTAAAGATGTTAACTAAAACAGCACTTCATAGTGTTATTACTCTCTCTTTTTATTAGATAATAATTGAATAAAGAGATGTAATATGAAAAAAACATTAGTTTTCATATTTAGGAATAACTGTGTCAAAATACTTTTAGATTGGTCACTGATTTTCATAAATATATTTTTTTTTCAATTATCAATTTTATATTTATGGCATGTAGTTATACACCAGATTTATTCATAAATTGTAATTTAAATAAATAAACCAATATTTGTTATTTTCTAGAGTAGCTTTCACTTCAAGTGGTCATTAAATTCCAATTAAATTATAATTTTCTACTAATGAAGAAAGTCAATAATTTTTTCTACCTATGTATAGCGCAGATAAAAACAAAAATTCTGTCGTTGTTGTGGTCTTATAAGCAAATGAAACACAGAATGGCAGACGAAAACAGAAGGCAAACAAGTTGCAACAATGTAAAAAGTGGTTTAATTGAGATTGAAATTAGAACAAGCTCAAACAAGAAAATTCAGCAATGTAAATGAGGTTAAAAATAAGAGAAGTATATTGTGAGAGCCTGAAGTTTTTTATACTACTTTCTCATACTACTTTACAGGTTTATGCTACTTTCTCATACATACCTGCAAAACCGAAATAAAATTCATCACAATATATTCATTCTAAGTGTAAATAAGATTTTGGAAAAAATTCAAACTTCTTATTTACCATAATAGTAATTTAGAAAATATATTTTGCATAATTGAAATAACATTTGTAATTTGCGTTTGCAATTTTTTTTAAAAATTTTTGAATTTATCTTGGATTTTAAATAGGAGTAAAATGTTTAGATAAGGAGTAATTGTGCATTCACTAAGTTATTAATTATATATTTATAAAGTAATGTATATCATGATAATCACTTAATATAGTTAGTACATTTTACATATTTAATGTTATAATTTTGTCTTTAATAGTTTAAATAAGTCAAATTCCAAAAAAAAAACGGTTTAAAATATTTATTCAGGTAATAGTTATTTACTCTCAGAAGAAGACAAGTTCCTATCTTCGACAAGTTCCTTAATTAGTTATCTTCGACAAGCCAAACATAGACAAGTTCCTATCTTTAACAAAACGACCTCATCTTTATCAAGTTTTCTGGTTTTTATTACTTATTGTCGAATAAATACATATAAATCTATAACAACCAGTAATAAAATTTGTTGAGAGCTTCCAATCTTAAAGTTGGTTGATGATTCTTACCTTCAATAGTAAAATTATAATTTTCAGAAATAACTGGCTATCTCAAGTGATAAGCAATTTTTAATTTATATATTTATTACATTCGGAACAATAATAGAAAAATGAAACATAATGAAATGTGATAATAAAGGAGATTGAAAATTTACTTCCAAAATGTGTAATTAAAATAGTTGTAGAAATATTAGGAAAATATTTTTGTACTTATTTATATGACAAAACTTTCGAATGCCAAATTTTACGAGTTGAAAACATCTCTGGTTCAGAAGGTATAAACATTTATATATTATTGCAAATTTTGTAAATTTTCAAGAGTTTAGTAATGAAAAATAATAAAATAACATAATAACATGTAAGGAAAGAAAATAAACGTTTTTAATCGGAACAATTTTACTATATAATTAAAGTCTTTTCATTCATATTTTTAATAGACATTAAACTTTCAACAAGGTCACAGGATGTTAAACTTTCTTATCTTAAGTTATTGTCAAAGATTTGATACCATTGATTTTTTAACTGGATTATTTAACGTTCTTATGCAATTCTAAAGTACAAATTAAAATGAATTTTAAGAATATAGATAGTTTTCTCTCTCTTAAGCATTTCAAAAAGAATGTTTACATACAGGGTGATTCTAAAAGGATGGGTAAAATTTTAGGAAGTGATAGTACACACCCAAGAAAACAATTTTTATCAAAGAATGCATGGTCGAAAACAAAACGCAAAGGTGCTGGCGCTTTTCGAAAGTTGTTTGAGACAAACGTTGTTTGATGACGCAGCACTATCTCATTACGTACGAGAAGTGCGAATCTATCTGGACGTAACCTTTCCAAACCAATGGATTGGGTGAGGTGGTCCTGTAGCTTGGCCACCGCGCTTGCCAGATCTTTCATGTCTCGATTTCTTTTTGTAGGGACAGCTGAAGGCTCTTATGTATGAGACTCCCATTGAATCTGTAGAAGTGTAGAACTTGTCGCCAAGCTTTCGGCCGCTGCAGGGAAAGTTCGTTATATGCCTGGTGTGTTTCAGAATGTTCGCCTATCTTTTCTTCGCCGTTGTACTGCGTGCATAGCCGCTGCCGGCCACTGTTTTGAACACTTATTGTAATCACGTGCCATTAAGTTTGCTTTTATAACTTAATTTCATAGTTCTTTGTGTGTTTTTGACTCATAAGGAACATAAAATTTGACGCCCCCTAGCGGTTTTGCGTTTTGTTTTCGACCATGCATTCTTTGATAAAAATGTGTGCACTATCACTTCCTAAAATTTTGCCCATCTTTTTAGAATCACCCTGTATAAGTAAAGCAATAAGCTTATAATGCAAACAAATGTTTAAATTCGCAAAATTAAAGAATATTTTTTGAAGCGCAATTCGAATTGATTTTACAAAATACAAAAAATACACAATCGTAAAATTGAAGTTTGATAAGGTATTAATAAAATTAGATTAAGAAAAGTCTTAATCAAGTAATGATTTTCTGAGAAATGATTATTATTTTTTACAAATTCAATTAGAATTTAATTTTTTTACAAATTCAACAACGGAGCATAAAATTTTAGTGACTCGTAACTCCTATATATTGAAACTTATTTTTAATTGAATTAAATTCAATTTCTCATTCATTGTTCCACAGAATTTGCTACTTATTGCATTAGATAAAAATACACACAACCCAAGAAATAAATACAAATGAGCTATTTTAATTCTTAACTAGGGTAATATTGCGTTCAATGTATGTTCCATTAACTGTATCCAAACTAGACTTATTCAATTTAAATTTATATTTGTGACTTTAAAAAAGCAGTGTCTATAGATGTATTGATACTATTTGCAAAAACCTCTACTAGATTTTCCTTAAAAATAAGTGTGACTACTTGTGGAAAGGATCTTTATTTATCACAAAATACAATTCTTACATTAATAATTACATAGTTAAATGTCCTTTTTCCAGCAAAATCAACTTTTCTCTTACGTAAAGAATATTTTATTATTAGATATCTTTGTTGTTTGGCTTGGTAAAATTAAAGTTTTAGTAACATTCGATTACGGATTGAATGCTTTTTCTACACCGAAATACTTAAATAGAACGAATATTTACTGTTGACGATGCAATTCTTACATAGTGCGGAAATTTACCCTGAATCTAATAGAAAGTTTAATAAAATAAATATTTTACTAACTGTTAAATCGTAAGTACAGAGACTCTGTTTATCTTCAACTTTTTGCTGTACAGTTGATAAATTCTAATTAGACTTTACAAAATAAATGGATCATAGAGGGTTAAATAGTAAAAATATTTATGTACCAATATGATATGTGTAATATTTTTACTCATTATTTAATTATCAGTGGCCAAACTAAAAGTTATTTTGTTTAATATAGGGCCTCCAGACCAGGTTCGAAATTGCTCTGTTACTAACTACACTGCGGATTCATTAAGAATTGAGTGTGAAGAAGGTTACGACGGAGGATTACAACAAAAATTTTATTTGGAAGTTTATAATGAGGCTCAAGAATATTTAGAAAAAAATCTAACTAGGCTTGAGCCTCTTTTTGTAGTCCAAGATATACAATCATCGACAGAATATTTATTAGTTGTTTATGCCGGTAACATGAAAGGTAGAAGTCCTTCTGTTGTAATAAGAGGAGCAACGGAAGCATCGCCAAGGACAGAACAAGGTCAGATTTCTTATATTTTTTCTCATAAAAGTTCTTAAATTAGAAGATTTTTTATTGGTATTTACAATGTTTTGGAATTATTAATAAATTGATTTAAAAAAATAATTAAATGTTCGAGAATCTGATTAGAATTATTTTACACTTGTCTTTTCTTTACAGATATAAAATCTGATTTTGCTTTCTAAATACAAAAACCCTGTAAAATTTTACATATCAAATCTTTTTCCCGGAACAAGTTACGGTACCAAACAATTACATATTCCATAATTTGTACAGTAATAATTGTCGCAAGTCACTGAATTACTCTAAATAGATAAATATTACTGTAAAAATTGCGGAATAGTATTTTGCTCCAAAAACAGATGAAAAAATGGATTTTACGGATTATGAATCCAGAGTGCCTATAGTTTGATCCGGAATTTATTATAGCCTATGTTTTCAAAAGAAAAATTTACTCTTCTTTACGAGCTAACTTTACATGTTTATAAATAACGTTATTATTTTGTTATGTTCAGCTAATTATATGTAATAACGTAAAGAATATTACTGGAATAATGTTAGACGTAGTTATTTAAGTCTATTTAAACTATAACAGCTTTTTTTGATCAAGAATAACTATACTTATATTTTAAAACCATTTAAGAATTTGTAATAGTTACGTGCCATCCTATTTAAATATAATGAAGTATAATCAGAAAGTAAAACTATTTGTCGCTTCGAAAACGTTCTATATCTCATAATGTGAAATATACGTCTTGGAAATTTACTAGCTAATCAAAAATATGATCTTCTTACTGTTTAGTTTCAATGAATTATAAATTACCCAAAACTAAATTCCCTATTATAATATCTAATATACTAACAAGTAAGCTCTTTTAAAAGTAATAAGCTGCTGTTTATGATAAATTCAGCTATTTGAAGAAAATTGCTTGATACAATTTCTGTTTTAGTTAGAACTAATTACGTTAGGATGGAATAGTTTAATTTATGAATTTTTAATATCATTCTTAAATCTAATTTAAACAGCTATATCTCTTATAATTAAAATATCTAAATGAGTTGCATCATTTTCAAAGAAAACTTATTACACTAATATAACGATAACAAGGCACTGTTTTTTTTTTCTTTTTAAAATATATTCTCACTTAAAAAAATCCCTTTTAAGTAAATTGTATCTTCTCTGTCTCAGGTTTATGTTTTATAAATTCTAATTTATATAGAAAATACCATTTTCCTATTTTAATATTGCACCTAAAATATTTTTTTTCAAACAGGTAATAAAAAATAAAGCCAAGTTTACTGAAACATTGGTACTTCTAAGAAATTTAAAAACAAATTTAATTAACTTATAAAAAGCTAAATTACGATAACAAATAAATTGCGATAAATGTATTTGGAAACATCATATTTTAAAGAGAGAGCGAATTGAATAATTAGGCCTGTTTACTATATTAAAGTCTAGGAATTTCAGACTGATTGCAAGTTTCACATATCACTTCTTCGTAAATTCCACTGACCTGTCAAAATTGTTAGGGTTGATAAATCACCATATGACAATCGGAAGAAGTATTTCTCAATCAAATAAATCAACTTAACCATTTAACTTTGTCCAAGATAAGTTAAAACATCTCCACGCAAAAAACCTTCATTTTTATTGCGCCTTATTGCGCAGAGAATAAAGAAAAATCAGCGATATGTATCAAAGTAGTTAACCCAAAGACATTTCATTGAAGCAGATCAAATAATTTGGAGAAGTTAGATTAATTAGAGAGGTTAGATAATTTAGAGAAATAGTTTTAAAAGTTAATGGATTCAAAAATATATTCATCAAACTCGAGTAGAATTTAAAAGTTTACATTTTTTTGTGATTATCCCTTATAAAACACATTTTCCATTTCTTATATTATTATTGAATTATTCAACTTACTATTTTACATAATTAATAAATTCACCATACTACTGATAAATTTGCCATGCAACTGAAAATTCAGTCTTAATTTTTGAGAAATGTATTTGCTTTTTCTCAAATATAAATGTTGCTAGGTGTATTATACAAAAGATAGAGTACGTAGAAAATATCAAAGCTGTTTGTAAGAGTCAACCCAGGAGTATTTGTAGCATTTTTCTCTGTAAATAGATACAATATGTTTCGCATTTCGTGGAATAAATACAATTTAGCTGACAAAAATAATGAGATGATATTTTTGACGAAACAAATATTGTTTTGTTAATATGTTTCGAATCGTAAATGTATGGTAAAGCATTTCGCTTCATTTTATTCACTTCTGAGGTGTGAATTAATTTTTACCAAAATGATAAAAACGCTTAAACAAATTCACTTGCAGATAATAAGTTTACGAATAGTATTTTTGTAAACACAGGCGCGTGTTTATATAATCTCATGTTGTTTTGTAGTTGTTTTCCATATGTACTTTATATTGTAGGTAGTCTTATATTGTTAGCTTTATATTTTACTAGTGGGCTGCGCCCCCTGCTCGCTGACGCTCGCCAATCCCCGAAAATTGCTACGCAATCTTATATGGTTTGGTTCGCAAACAAAGCTCACTTCGCTTGCTACTAACCTAGGTACATCGCAAATGCACAAAATTATAAGAATTCAAAACGATCATTCAAATCCATATAACACCTTTCTTTTTTAAAAAAATTACATATTTTTAGTAAATACTAAGTCATTAAAATAAATTTGAATTCAAATAAGTGCAATTCGTTAAACCTATTAGAAATGTACTATAGTATAAAGCGTAACAGCACGACTGAGACTCATTTCTCAATGAGTAACTAATAACAATAACAAAACAAATAAATTCGTGATATAAATCAAAAATTCTCAAATAAATTCGTAATATATAAATTCATGAAAAAAGCGCATTCAACAAAATACTAAAATAGAGATCGATCTACAAAGACTTCCCACTTCTGCCTAGCTTAATAGTATGAGATTGCCGCAGCCATTGGATTAATTTCGGAAGAGATCAAATTTGGTAAGAATGCTCTCTCTGGTTCTTTCAGTTTCCGTTTATAAAAGCCCTATATGTTGAGCCACCTCAGCTAGATTCGGCATGTGACATTTTTAGCGACAATCATTGGTCGATTTTCTAGCGTTGCCATTCGGGGAGTTATAATGATGCTTTTTTGTCGCTGTGTAAGAGAAATATATATATAGATATTGTTTTATATTGTTAGCTTTATATAGGTTAGCTTTATATTGTTGTTAGTTTCGGTTATATCGATCGAAGACATACTCTATTTGAAAATATTATTTTCATCTTCTTACACCATTAATGATAAAAATGAATATTACTTTGTGACTACTTGTATTATTTTATTTACATATTATACCTATAATTTTATTATATTTAATAATGTATGAACATATCATAACAGTTACATATTCAATAGAAATAATTCAAGTATTTGCATAATATTAATAACAAATTATATACAGCGCTACTAAAGTAAATAAGACACGTGAAGTGGTTAGACAGAAAATCGTTTTTTTGAAGAAATGTAAGATCACCAACTATAAGAAGTATATTGTAAATAGAAAGTTAGTTATGTAAAAATATCTCTCATTTCAACAGTCGTATTTATCAACTATTTAGAGAAACAATAAATTGAATTTTAGATATGATTTTTAATGAAATTTATGGCTGAAATTCTTTATAAATTCTACTACTAGAATGTATTATATCTTAATATTGATATGTGATAATTTAAGGCCATGTTTTGGTAAAATTACAAAATATCAAAATATTAAAGTTCATTTATTTACCTCAGATTTTTCACAAGTTATATATACAAATTATTTTTCTTAATGGTGGTAAGTTTTTGAGTCAGAGGATAAGGTCATTTTATTTCCGTTCTTAGTCTAGCTTTTAACTTACTTTACTAAGCTTGTTTGATAGCATCTCAAAATATAAGAACTTTTAACTTATTGAACAATTTAATTTAAAAATGAGCGTACTTATTATAAAATAGAGATGGATAATTACAAAAATAAAAACAAAGCTTTTGTTCAATAAATTAATACTGTAGTTTTCTCAATAAACATTGATTCTTGAGCCACCGTAGAATTTTTTTGAACTCAATAAGATTATACATATGATTTAAAACTTTTATATTAAGCAACAGTTTTGAAAAATTAATTTTATAAAGCGTTCTAAAAACTTGTGACAGTCAAATGCTAAAGAAAAGTGAAGATTAGGTTTTAATTTAAAAAAGAAGTTCTTATAAAATTATTTTTAAGATAAATAAGGCTTATGTTAATAACTTAATTTTTAACAGGATGCAATTTTATCTATTGAATTGAATTATTTACTATAATTACTAAAATACGAATTAACGGATAGTGTTATGATTTTTTTTTATTAGAAATAGATGCCTATAACATATTTTTGCAAATGCTTAAATAAGCAATGAAAAATAAATACTTCAGTGAATAACATATCGAATAGGTAAAATTAATTAAAGTCATTTTACTAATTTATTAAATTTAAATTACTTAAATATCGATGCCTCATAAAGTCGTACTATTTAGATATTTATTCTAATATTTTTAGTTGGTAATATATGAGTTCAAGGTTGTTGAAATAATTACGTTAAAAATATAACATGAAGTAATTTGTTGCATTTTGAATTAAAGGTGGAATTCGTTAAAGTTGATTTAACAGCAAAACATACTTTTAATTACGTCCTTAATATCTTTTTTCTCAAAAATAAACATTCAAAAAATAAAAATAAGCAAATTTAAAACAAGTTAAACATTCCTGTGTATTTGACATGAAACAAAAAGTAATTGTCATTTATTATTCAGTTTATTCAACATTTTTTTTCAGAGAGGGTAAAAGCAGTCATTATTTATTTTAAAAACAAAAATACTGCAAATAACTTTGCATTTTTTTCTTATTTAGAAAACATTAGGAAATTAGTAAATATTTTAAAAAGGAGGCTGCTTTTTTTTAAAAAAAAGGATAATAAAATGTTTTATTTTAATAAAAAGAATTTACTTTCAGCGAAAATAATACGGTAAATATTTTCTTGAAACGATATATTAAGCCATTGACTATGTAATTTAATTGCTTTAACTAATGAATTTATAAAATTTGAAAGTTTATTTATGAATAAATAAATTGCTTTGCATAAAAATTAAAAAAACGGTAATTGCGGATTCCAGATATACAACTAAAACAACAACGGCAATAATAATAATAACATTAATAATAACAGAAATATAAAATATACAAACGCTGTTCGTGAAGTAGAAAATTGTTATTTTTGACAAAACAAATCTATTAAAAATAATAGAGTGAAGCTTTTAAATATGAAACGGTTGTTATAATAATACCTTAATGGGACACAGATGCCTTGACTCTCTGGCTCAAGTATTAATAACCAACTGACTTCATAAACCTTTCTCACATATTTTCAAAGAAGTATTAAACATTTCTGTCTCAAAATAGACACAGCATAACATAAAAATTGTATTTTATGCATTCATCATAATGAATTCATCATAATGTATTCATCATATTCGTCATTATCAATTCATCACAATCTTTTCAATTAATATAATAAAAAATATTTTTTTTCTCAATAACAAATTTTTCGAGTTTTGAGTTCCGTAATTTCAGAATATGCAAAGAAATTAACATTTTATCCAAAAAAGGATAATTCACATACAATAGAACTAAAATCCGTACCATTGGAAATATATGCATACAACGAAAAATAAAATACATACCAATGCTTTTCTAGAAATGAATATTCTTACTTCATACAGAATTGTCGTTTCAAATAAACGAAGTAAATACATTTATTTTTGGCAATTTTCTTCAGAATTGATTCGGTGTTTAATCTAAAAATTCGCTTAACACGCGTGAACTTAAACATTTAAAAGCTTCCAAAAAGAGAATAAATACGTTTATATTACACAACTGCTGTAGAGCAAGATATGCATTAATGATTTTCTTGCAGCAAAACTTTTTTACTTGGAAATATCTGCCATTTTAAATTAATAGAGAGGTTGGACAAATTTAAAACCCATTTGCTTAGCATACATTTAATTTTTCCGTTAATTAAATTCACAGAAGTGTTAACAAAGTACACAATACATGTATACTGAAAAAGAATTTTTGTTCTATAAAGGTTAAAAATATTTACATTAATCTATTTCGGTTAAGAAGTATACATCAGAAAGCTGATTGAGAAGAAAAAAAATCACGCAATAGAGAAACCTGCTTTTTTTTCAAAAATTAAAACTAAATAATTATATGCACTTATAACAAGGCTTGCTTGAATGCATTTAATTACTGGCACTTACATTCACGACAGTGTTAAATAAATATATNACATGTTTCAATAAAGTAAGATACATCAAAATGCTGATGTAATTCTAGGGAGAAAAAAAAACCATTCATACATTGGAGATGTCTGTTTTTGAATTTATATACATTCAAAGCAATTTTTTTAGGCATTTAATTACCTCCATTAAATTTACTAATTGTAACTAATTGCTTAACACATGGCTATGAAAATGTACTTGTTGTTCAAAAAGAGTAAAATGTGTTTTAGTCATACATTTTCTTAAAAGTAAGAAGCGCTGGAATTTGCTTATAGAATACAAATATATTTTTACATTCAAAATATTTGTTACTTTTTTTTTAGATTAACACAGAATTTAGAGTATTTAATAACATTTTTTTAGACTTTCGACCCTAAAATTTAAATTTTATTTTACTAATCTTGAATTTTTTTCCCGGAATACAAAAGAATTTGCATTCCATACTTTATTTCCAGGATTTGCTTCTGAGTCTATAAACATTATTCTCGGTGTAATGATTGGAGTTGTTGCTGCTCTGGTGTTTGTTGCCGGAATTGCTGTTTTCATAATAAGAATGAGAGAAGAAGAAAGAGAATCAGGTATGCAGTATTATATGTGTTTCACTTTTAGTCATCTAAAATTTTAAGTGAAAAGCTATGAAATATCAACAATGAACTGGAAAGTTTCTGCTTTATCTACGCAATATTAACTCATCAACAAAATAAATAAGATAATAACTTACACTGAAATAAACCTGGATTAGTTAATAAAATGAATAAAAGATGGAGTTATCAAGAGTACCCTAGCAACCTTGGCCCCAGTTGGGTTCATAATTAGCTCAATATGGGACCTATAAGAACTTTCACCAAGGGACCACTATTGGGATGTCTAGATTTTTTAATGCTAGTCTTAGAATGGCCTATATAGGACCTGCATTGGCAAATATAGAATCTCAATTGGCTTAATACGGGATATAAAATATCGGGTGAATCGGATAATTCTATGTATTGTCAATATCAGAAAAAAAACGGCCCTTTGAACCTTTACTAAGCCAAGACTCATGAATATTAGCCCAATGACGGCCCAAGTTATTTTGATGCTAGGGTAAACCAAAGTTTAAAATAACTAATGTTTTGAATCAACTATTACATTTTTATTTCTTTTGAAAATCAGACGTAGAATCAATATTTATAAATATACTGCTTTTCCTAAATGTTTTATAATCTAGTTTTTTCATTAAGATTCCGTTGAACATTAAAATTATTTGTGTATATGTTACTGTTAATAAAAGTAATGGCGGCATTCTGTTCAATACATGGTGTTGTCAGATAAAGTAGTAAATATGAGAACTTTTATGCACTCTAGGCATTGCATACAATGACAACAAGAGTTTGTGGGTTCGATGCCCGCCGGCCGAAGACTCCTCGAGCAGTAAATGGTGACTGATGCACGCTAACTCTGTCGAGTGGCAAAGTCCTCCATGTTTCTATAACAAATTAGGATTCTGGAGTTCCTTGTCTTCTGGATTGGCTCAAAATTACAAGGCTACAAAGCTGAACATTAGTAGTTGTAAACCCTAAAATTGGGTCGTCTGTTCAACGACGGATATAAAAAATTTTATGTGATGGCATTGTACACATTAGCGTAAGATATTTTCTGAAATGGCAAATGCTTAGGAATTGGAAACTCAGAAAAAGAATATGATCATAACTATCAGAATATAAGTTCACTATACTTTCGCACAAAACTCAGAAATCGTTACGAAAAAGCTAAAATTTTTCATTTCGTAATTATTTTGGTAAAATTGACTATAAAATAATGTTTTATAATATGTGATAAAATTTGCTAAATACGGTAAAATTTGGTAATTTTATGATGATTTCTAAGAGAATGATATAAAGCCATTTATTCGTTAAAGTGTAACTAGATGTGGAGTAATAAGAATTTACGGAACTGAATTTACGGTAAACTGCTGCCATATGAACGGAAAATTTACCAAATGAATAGTTCAAAAATAGTATATTTTGAATTTTTTTTAAGAGAATAAGGCGTTTTTTTTTAACAGATGTGTCATTACCATATAGTATGGTAATTTTATTGGGGTTCTTTATCACTCATTAAAAAGTGAAAATCAATGAGAAAAAACATATCATTATTTTTATTCTGATTTCTTTTTTTTTAAATTTTTAAAGAAAAATATTGCTGAGTTGAAAGCTAAAGCGGTATTGGGTAATGCCTTTAAAAAATCACCGAAGCAATCGAACAAATGTGTTCTGAAAATCAGGAATTAGTATACTGAACAATCATTTTTCTCTTAGGTAATTTAGGGTAAAGAATATCGGGCAACTGTATACTGGACATTGGCTGAGACATCACTTCTGAGTTTTAACTCGGTTATCTCTAAACTGGTTGTTATCAATGACATATAGATTTAAAAAAAATTAGGCATTCATTTTAAAATAAAAACAGAAAAATTAAAACATTATGTTTTTTTTAAATAAGACATTAAAAGGATTGTAGATTCGAAGAATAGAAGTAAACTAGAACATATAAAAATATGAATATTTGTAAGCAAGTAATTGTAAAAAAAGCATATCTGTTCACCATAAATCTCAGCGAAATAATTTATATTAACACTTAATTGACACTTAAAATTTTTGAAGAAAATTTTTGTCATTGAATTTACCTTTTAAAATCATTATTAAATTTCAAGTCAAATATTCAGTATATTTTTTTAATATTTAGAAATAGTTTTGAAAGAGCGCAACATTTATATGGTTGTTTGCTTGATAAAGAGAAATCTAAGTTAGCAATGATATGTATCGCTTAAACAAAGGACACTATTTAAAATTTCCTTTGTTGAAAAAAGGAATCAACTACAAAACTGTTTATATAAATTAAAACTTCAGAAACTTTTGTATTAAGCAAAATAACTAAATTTCTTGAAGTTCTAAAAAAAATTTTTCAAAATAACTAAAACTTTTTTAAAACTAAAATTTTACTTCAAAATTGTAATGAGTGAAAATAATTTTTAAAATTACAATTGAAATGACTGTAGATAGTAATACAAAATAGCTTAAGGAACATAGCACACATTGCATCATTCGTACTTAGAACTTCAAGACCTGCTTAATATCAACTACTTTGCTTCGAAAATCATTCTGATCACAGTACTAACAGACACTCCAGATACAGATCCATCCAAGGCCCAATAGAGATGTATGGCTAGTGAGATTAGTGATAAATGAGAGGTTAAGAAAAGTTTTCTATCGTAGTTTTAATTTTGACAAAATACCTTCCAAATTTATTTCCAATTAAAAACTCTTTAGGGATGTATACTTTCATATGTAAGATAATCATTTAAAATTTTCAGTGCTTGACAACTCAAAAAAATTAAAAAACATTAAGCGTGACCGTTGATTCCCACAAACCAAAGACAAAAAATTTAGATGGTAAAATCATAGTTAAATAAAACAAAAAGACATTTCCAAGTTCTAGCAATAAAGAAAATTCTAAATTAATGTCAAAAACTATTTTCAAATATTGTTTTAATTTTTGATTATCACTTAAAAAATTCTAAGAAAAACTTTAGAGTATTTCTAATGCATCAAATACACTTTTTACTTGTCTAAAATAAAAATCTGTAATTTCCAAACTTTCATTATTTTCAATTTCGAGATTATTAAATTTCTTTCTCCTTCCCAACAATGCAATATCCCAGTTCTTCCTTGGAAACTTTTATGCAATTTCTTTTCTTTACGATATGTCAAGTAATTATGCTTTTGTTTTGAATTTCTTACGCCAAAAGAAATCTCCAAGATTTTCGCGTTTCTGTTTTATCTCATTTCACATGCACAGAAGGCATATTCTCACGCAAATTACGGCTGGGCGAATATTTTACTTTTCTTCTCTGAGCAACTGCAGTGGATAACCCCAAAAGTACCACTAAAGCATATTTTTTTTCCACATACATTTATCCATTCGTCTCCATAAGCGTAGTGCTGCACTTTGTGATATTTACTCTTTACCCGGAACAAAAAGAAAGTTTTAGATAGCTTGCGAGATAACAATATTTTATAGACAACTCATAAATGTCTGTATCTTTTCTTTTCAGGATCCGGGGAAGGACCAGCGAGGGAAAAGTAAGTTCTAACTTCCATTCTTTCAAATAATTCCCTCGAATGTCTCATAATTATTTTTCTTACGGCTTTTGTTTAAAAGTTGAATTTTGCCTCGATCTAAATGTTACACTTCCTCGCAATAAATATAAAAGTTAATGATCATAAAAATGCATTAGGTATTTAATAGTTCTCTAAAAGTTTTTGAGCAGTTTTAACTTAGTTCATAAGGTGATTAAATTTTAAATAAACTTGTTATACTTAATAGAAATTTCAGTTGAAATAATAGCGTTTTTATGAAACTTTAATAATTTTAAATATTTAAACTCAAAATTTTAAGTTTAGCATAATTATTTAACAAAGATTTGTGTAATCCAACAGAAACCAAAGAGGCCAACAGAGATGGATATAGGTATAAGGAATTTCACATTTCGCATTGTAAGCTTTAGTTAAAGGAATTTAATCTAAATTCCAGTTTTTTAAGTTATTTCGCTTTTGAATATATTGCTCATGGGGTGCAATAGCGGCACAGCTCAAAAAATCAAGTTTTGAGATAAGTGGGTTTAAAGTTTTCATTGCTAAGCAAAATGCATAAGAAATGCTTTAGTTTGCTTAAACAACGATTTCCTTCAAGTTGAATTTAGAGTTGTGCTCGTATCAGGGCTAAAGAAATAGAAGGACTAGTTCACTCCGCTCTTAGAGCTGAAGCTACGATTTCCCTCCTCATGACGTCACTGTGTAAACAGATCTCGGAGATCGCAAGCAGAGATATGATAACTTTGCATCCTTCTCTTTGTAAAAATAAGTTAGACTTTTTCTGGTTATTAGCCTTCAAACTTTACGTAATTAACACATTATTTCCGTTCATAAACATAGTTCAAAAAAAACTTTCTTCGTTATTATATTTAAAAAAATACCATTTTAAACTTATAAAAATGTTTTGCTAGTTGGTGAAAATGACACGATAAATACTTTATTTTAAAAAGTTCAGTTTTAACTTTAACTATTAAGAAAAATGAAGGCATATATCGACACTTTTTTTATCTACATATTCTTTTATAA